TGCCTGTGTGGATTGTTTGGCAGCATCATTTCTTTTGGACATTAGCTCTGTGAGCTCAGCGCACGAACTCATGGATGCATTCTTGGAAATCCTGGAGCCTGCCACCAGTTTAATAATGGGCTGGCTGGTTGCCCTCATCTTGATGTATGATTCTCCTTGGTGCTCTTGGACCAAGAACTCTGGAATTGCAATCCATTTGTAGTCAGCATATATTTCCACTGACTTTCGAATTTGGATCTCCATGATCAGAGATGGCTGCTGGAGTGTTGGTGCAAAGCCTGTCATGTATGGATGCATGTGTGGGCATGCCAAGGCAACCATTGTAGCCTGTAAACTTGACTTGCAACGCACAGGTTCATATGCATGTGCTACATGGAACAAACAATGCATGAACATATGTGTTGCGGACAGAGTAGTAGCCACCTGGCTGAAACTACATGGCACAAGCGCAGGCTCATGCATGAGACGCTGCACAACCAGTGGTGCCATTGCCTATAGAAATGCAATCACTTGTAGCACGCTTATTTTTCTTCAGCTTCCACCACATCTAGCCTGGCCATGTAGACTATACATTGGATAACTTGGCATCTCCATTTGATGCATACTCTGGGTGGTCCAATAGCCATGTTTTTGTTCTTCGGTCGAAAAGTCCCATTCCAAAAACCACCCTTGTGGTGCAATGGCCGCAGCCTCATCTGATGGATTGTAGTCCTCCATACATGAGCTGTCTGGCACACACCCTGGGAAAGGTGGTACAAGGATGGATCACAGGGTCACGAATTCCATCAGGCTTCATTGATGGCTTCTTAATGGCTTGGCATCTTCCCTTTGCATGGCTGGCCTCTTCACCGCGTGTTTGGCACGGGCTGACTTTGCAGCAGGCTTTTTGTAAATGGCCTTCTTTGGCATGCTCTATACCAACTATGGAAACTCAAACTAGTGGTAGCTGAGCCAAGTGATGAATGCATCCTATTCAATGTTTGCTCATCATGCATGTGGTAGCCACCAAGGCCTGGAGTACTCAAGTTCACAACACCAGCTCTCATGAGACAAGTCTTTGATTGTGCGTATGCAAGCATACATGCAATCATGCAATGCTGACTAAGTGCAAAGCAGCTTTAGGCACTGTTGTTTTCCTCATCATACGTGTATTTGGCCATATCCATGGACTTGCCGCTGGTCCACCTGGGCACATAATGCTAAATTGTGTAGCCGTGCAGGCTTGGCTGATCAGTAAATAAACATTATGGACTAGCCAGGTTTGTAATACCAGCTTAGGGTTCACACTGCAATCAGAAAATGTTGCAACCTTTGCGTGCAGGTTGCATTACTGTGTCCTTGCTTTCTTCTTCTTGGGCACATCTGTGTCTTCTGACTTTGGAGGTGGCTTCAAAGCAATCAAATCATGCTTCGTGATGGCGTCCTGGATGCAGTTCACCATGGGTAACCCATTTCTCTGTGAGCTGGCCATTGTCATCATTGTGGCAACATGTCCAGTATGGGCTCAACATGCCTGTGCGGTGGTCATTGCCCCTGAAGGATTTAACTGGGAGCACAAACCATGACTGGCCATTGAATTTTACCTCCCCATACTTTGTGCCTGATGGCTTGGTGTTGGTAATGCAGCTTATTCTGTCTGGACATGGGATCAATTGGACATAGCCCTTCTTGAGGTCCTTGGATGCATACAATGCCTGCTGGGGCTGTTCCTGCACAAAAAGTCATTGGCATCAAGGTCCTGGTTGTTGTAGCACTCCACCAACTGGATGAAGATCTTGCATTTGGCCAGTTCTTGGCTCACCATGGTGATTCAGTGGGAAGCAACTTCTCCACAAGCTCTTGGTTCAAGAGCTTTGGCCTTGGAAGCTTTCATTGATGCTTGAATTTCATGGGCTTTGACAACAATGGTTTGCTGGGGCTGGAATAAAGGCTTGTGTGCAAGCTTGACACCTTCCTGGTTGGATTCCACAAGTTCCCATACCTTGGCAGGAAAGTCCTTGTGGGTGTAGGTGCTGCCAACCTGTATGGCCAATGATTGGCTGGCCACAAACATTGCATCCTTGGACTGGTCCAGGTTCACCAATGTGCCGCATGACTTTGAGGCTGGCTCCTTGGGCTCATCATTGATCTTGGATCTTGGGATGTAGTTTGGCTGTTGTTGCAAGTCCTTCAGCATTGCATCTCTTATTTGTTGGTGGTTGTGCTGGTGGTTTGGTTCTCTCCCAAGCTTCTCTTTTGCTAGCAGTGCCAAAATGGTCCTGATGGCTGCTTTCCCAAATGACTTGTGCCTGATGGTTCTGGCAAGAAACTGTTCCACTTGGAGCAGCTTTTCCTGGAACTTTTTAGCCTTGAAGCTGGCGACATCTGTCTTGGTGATGAGCTTGGATACACCATCAACCACTCTGTTCGTGGAAAGGTTGGCAGCTACCATGGAAACCCGCAGCATGGTGCACAGGTTCGACTTAGAGAGGATGGTCTCAGTGATGGCTTGGGTGAACTCTTGGCCCAATGTTGGGCTGTTTCCATACTCTTTGGAAATGTGGGACAAGAATTGCACCAGTGGCCCGCCTGGTCCACCTGCACAAATGTTCTCTTGGTCACAGGCACAAACTTATTCTCTGATTCAACCTCTAAATGTTTACACGCATGCTTATTTCATCACCTGGCCTGAGTAGAGGTGGACAAACTTTCCCACGATGGCTGCATAGGCTGCAACTTGGCCCCCACCCAAGGCATGTCAACGGCCAACCTTTCAAAGTCATGGGATGCTTCAGCACTTGTGGATACATGGTCCACCAAGCTGGCAGGTGGGCAAATGTGCAGTTGGTGGAATTGTTGGCCTTTTCAATGAGTGATGTGATGGTAGCCTGGGGAATGCTTCCTTTACATGGAGTGCTATAATGGTCCAGCTCCAGCCTACTGTGGCCATAGTGTGGAGAGTCTTGTCCTGTCTGAGCAGCACTGGGTTCAAATGGCCATCTGGTCCTTTGCGGGATGGTTGGTCAGTGACAGCTCCAGCAACACTTGCTTTGATGAACTGGCTGGTGTGGGATGGGCTCACAGATAGGATCCGCTCTGCACCTGTTGGCTTGGCCATCATGGTCTGGGACTTTTGGTGCAGCTTTGCATTGAAATCCTGTTGGGCCTGTTGGGCCTCAGCATGGGTTGCCATCTCAAAGGCACAGCTGGCTCCCAAATGGGACAGGTCAGCCCCAGATTTCACTATGGCTGCACCCTTCACATGCATTGACCCGCTGTTGATGCCAGTGCCTCCTCGATTGGATGGGTGCGCCAGCATCAAAGTTGCAAAATTGGTTGGGTCCAGCATGCTCCTTCTTGGGTCAAAATCTCATGGATGGACTGCCAATGGGCTGCCATTTCAACAGGTAGCCCTGATGGGTGTCATCCATGATGGCCTGGATCTTGGGCACTTAGCACCCTGGCGGCACAGAATGGCAGCACTGTCAGGTATAACCAATTGTGTGCACATGTTTCTTCCTAAAGGGTGTGCTTGCATGCTGGCTCACATCCCAAACAGTTACTTTGTTTCAATGCGTAGGTCCTTGATTGAAAACGCTGTCAAAGTTTGGCGTGTGATATGTTTTGCAACGCAGCAGCAGTTACTAGGCAATGAGCCAACAGCTTGCTTAGCCAATTCCACACTGAAGTCACGCATGGGTAGCCAAAGCTTCAACAACTCATTGGGGGCCAAATGGGGCAGTCAAGACATGATAATGGTTGTGGAATGCAAATGCACGGGTGGGCAGCCACACATGGCTAGGCAAAAAATGGGTAGCCAACTTTCCGAAGATCTTGCAGGCATCGAAGTCATCTTTCACTTTGGACCAGGCATGGTCCACCATCCACTGCTTGGACATTGCCAAAACTCCAACGCTAAAAGCTCCTCAGCTCTCAAATACGCTCCAAATAACCAACCTGTCCTTTCTTTCCATCAGCCTGACGTACGTGGGGGACGTGCGGGACGAGGGGGACGTGGAGGACGTGGGGAACGTGCGGGACGTGCTGCCGGCGCGCCCGGCGGGCAATTAAGACAAGGTCAGGTACAGATTTCGTGGCAGGCGCAATGCTTTCGCAAGGTCAGGTACAGATTCGCGGCAGGCGCAGCACTTTCGCAAAGGTACGGCACAGATTTCGCAGCAGGCGCAGCACTTTGGCAAGGTCAGGTACCGATTTCGCGGCAGGCGCAGCACTTTCGCAAGGTACGGTACAGATTTCGCCGCAGGCGCAGCATTTTCGCAAGCAGTGAAGAAAAAGATGCAGAAATATAAACATAAAGAAAAGAAAGAAACGAGAGAGAGAGAAAGAGAGAGAGATCGAGGAAGCGATGATTCAGCAAAGGGTGCGTTAAGCTCTGTAAACATTCTGAAAATCAGCGGGGGGGTTGGGGGGGGGGCGGCAGCCCCCCCCATGATGTTCGAAGAAGTGATGATTCAACAAGGGGTGTGTTAAGCTCTGTAAGCATTCTACAAATCAGCAGGGGGGTTGGGGGGGCAGCCCCCCCAATTGCTGATTCAACAAAGGGTGATGATGATCGAAGAAGTGATGATTCAGCAAAGGGTGCGTTAAGCTGTGTAAACATTCTGAAAATCAGCGGGGGGGTTGGGGGCGGCGGCAGCCCCCCCATGATGCTCGAAGAAGTGATGATTCAGCAAAGGGTGATGATGATCGAAGAAGTGATGATTCAGCAAAGGGTGCGTTAATCACTGTAAACCTACAAATCAGCGGGGTGGTTGGGGCGGGGCTTCCTTGCTTGCTTGTTTGCTTGCTTCCTTCCTTCCTTCCTTCCTTCCTTCCTTCCTTCCTTCCTTCCTTCCTTGTTTTCGTGTCCCCATAGTTTCCGTGTCTCCATAGAAATGAAAAGAAGTGTTTTTGTTGATCCCTTATAAGTTTGTTTGATCCCTAATAAGTGTTATTTGATGCCTAATATATATATATATATGATTGTTTGATGCCTATCCCGCATCTCACTACAGCGCATCCTTGTTTGATCCAGCAGATCCTTCTCCCTTTCCTTGACTCATATGCAAGTCAAACGGGCAAAAGCCAAGCAGCAAGGCACACTTTGGCTTGGACGGCGCAAAGCTCAGCTTCACTTCGGGGCCCGGCTGATGACTGTGCTTCGCTGGTCGCTGCATTGATCTTCCCCTGAAACTAATCGACCCATTGTCAGTGGGGCAGTACAAAGACACAAAACCCACACGGCAGCCGAGGTGTGTCGATGCGGCATCAATTCGATGCCTTCAGCGAGGACTTGATGCTGTACAGCTCGGAGCGCTGCCTTAGCCCCGACATGTTCGAAGGTCGGCTTGTGCGGCTTTCTCGGCTTCGATTACATCCTGAAAATTTCGGAAAAAATAAGGGGCTACATCGGGTTTCAGTCAAGCGGCTTGTCAGACTTCTCCATGTGCTGCTTCTGCTTCGCTCGCGCCTGGCTCGGCTGCTTTCACGCAAGGGAGACGATGTGCCCAGGGCCTCGTCGAGCTGCCGGGAGACTGCATCCAGTTCCATCCTGTTGAGGTCTCAAATAGGCCAAGTCTCAAATTCTAAAAAACACGGACATCCTGTGCAATTCACACATCTCAGTGCGGCCAAAATCACAAGTCATGCCTCAGCTGCCGCTTCCTCTCATCTAATTCTTCAATCTCTTTGTCAATCTGTGCACGTACCTTGCAGACACATACCACTGTCCACATTTACAGTAAAGGCCATGGAAACGCGGCCTATCACACTACTTGGTGTAAGACAGTTAGTTCACTCCATCCATATAGGAAAGTTTGAAAGGCACTGCCCTGTGGCCATGTCTCCCATGTCGCTGCGCATGCCTCATCCATGTGTTCCAGCTGCAATCGCAGGCTGTCTTGCGACTGGTTGAGCTCACCCTGCATGTCACAGGTGCAAATGCTCGGATGGCCCGGATGCCCTGCCTCTAAGTCTTTCTGTGACTTGGTGGAGCTCTCAGCTTGGCTTTGCAGCCCAACGATGCGGGCCTGCGTCACTCTCAAAGCGTCTCTCTGCTCTCGGCAATGCCACTGCCCGGTGCCATCTATTGAATCATATTGAATCATGTAGAATCTATAGCCATCCTGGATCTGCAGATGCAAGTGCTGCAGGTCTCCTTGGCGCAGCTGCCTCACCTCTTGGGCTCACGTGGCTCACGTGGCTCGCGCGGCTCTCGCTCCTCTCACTCTCCTCGCCTCTTCTCGGTGCTCTTCAGAAGACTGCAGGTTCTGCTGCACCTCTTGGTATGTCTGCAACCTGAGTCTCTCTGACCCCGTGGCAAAGGCGGTAGGCTCATCTTTTACTATTCTGATACCAGCCAATCGAAAATCCACAACTGCAAAAAGAGCTTTTTTGTTACGTATATACTATGTATTTAAACATATATATATATATGGTCCCGTGTTCCGTGTTGCTACCCCCCCCCCCCCATATGGTATGGTCCCCCAAGAGCCCCCCCCCCGGGCCCGAGACCCCGAGCCCCCGGATCCTGGCACCTACGGTCCCACCCCCACCCCGACCCCCTGAACTCGCACCCAGAAACCCCGGCCCCCACCCCCAGGACAAGCCAACCCGCAACTAACCATAAACCAACCCTAAACTATCCCTAAACCAACCCTAAATACACCCTAAACCAAACCCTAAACCGTAGACCTCTAAACCTAAACCAACCCTAAATCAACATAAACCAACCCTAAACTAACCCTAAACCAACCCTAAACTAACCCCAAATACACCCTAAACCAATCCCTAAACAATAAACCCTAAACCTAAACCAACCCTAAACCAACCCTAAATACACCCTAAACCAAACCCTAAACCGTACACTTCTAAACCTAAACCAACCCTAAACAATCCCTAAATCAACATAAATCAACCTAAATCAACCCTAAATCAACCCTGAACCAACCCTAAATACACCCTAAATATACCCTAAACCAATTCTAAACCAACCCTAAACCACCACAACCCAACCACAGGACCACAACCACAGGGGGGGGGGGGGTACTTGGCTGACCCATGAGCATTGGGGGGGGAGGGGGGGGGGCTGGCAACGCTGTACCATATATATATATATATATATATACATGCAGGATGCAAAACCTTTCATTTTCACATTGGAAAAGTGTGTGAAAAGCAACGTTGCCATCCAGGCTGTGGCCTCTCAAGTATCCCGGATCTCTGCTTGCAATCGCAGCCAGGCTCACACTCTGAGAGAAACAAAAAACCGGACTGCGTCACAGACAGGAGCAACAGCCAAGCAAAAGCAACAGCTGAGCAAGTACACCAGATGCCCTTCCACCTCCCCCATACTTTCGAATAGGAGAGCTTTCCAAACCGCTACAAATGAGTTGTGTCTTGCATTCTTGCTCTTGAGTTCTGCAGGCAGCCTGGACGATCAGCCGACCATTGGATTGCTCCCAAAACTGCCTGCGGGATTTGCCATTTTTCAATTTTGCTCCACTTTTGTGACCTGCTGCTGACAGGTACTTCCAAAAAAGGGCGCTTTTGAATAGCACTGGACTGGGTCCGTGTAAACGCAGTCCTCTTGTCGTGCTTTTCGTAGCGCTGCGTCAATGCCGCGACGTTTGACATCGTTTGACAACCTGCAGGAGTCTATGTTGCTCAATGTCGCTCAACACACATTTCAATTCTAAACCGAGCGGCCTTGTCAATGCTTTTCAGCACGCGGCATGGTGTTTAGAAACATGTTTCAAGAAGTGCGCATGTGTGCTGAACAAGCTTGTGTTTAAGCTGATTGTACCCTATAGAGAGGACGTGCCAACCCTCTCACATGGATCGTTCACATACTTACAGGTTTGTGAAGCTCGGAGATGGCAAGGAATCTCACGCGCTTGGGCCATGCCGTTCCTGGAAGGCTTGGGCTGGGCCGGGGCCAAAGCTGAGAAATTGCTAGCGGGTTTCGAAGCGCCACTTGGCACCCTCCGGATGTGTCTGTGGCTTCGCGTCTGTTCCAACTTAGACCTACCGATGCACAAACACCCCATACAATCTTGCGCGAGTCATAGTTGATGCTACAGTGTTCGACTTGCGGTTCTGTCTTAGTCGTTCAAGTCCCACAATCTTAACATCCGTTTTAAACTCCTGATCGTTGTGTCGCAAAACAGAGCAGATTTGCGCACAAGGGTCCTCCGAGCAATACACTTAAATCAACGGATGCTTCATTCATCCTCATGTCAATGTGATTCACTGCAGCAGTCGGGAGTGTCTATCTCAGCAGGTAGTACTGCATGTATACACTGCAAGAGTATTCCTTGTGCCTAGTGAATAACTTGCCCTATCGCCTATCCGTTGTCATGTCCGGCTGAATTCACTTTCGGGTCATTAACTGGAGATGTCAAGCTGTTCGCTGGGAAGTGGGCAGCTGCGTGGACAGCTCGATGCCTCATTCTGATTTGCGTTCTCCGGATTTTTTTTCAAATTCAAGCGCGATAAGCGCAGTACGTTTCTTTGTGTTCTCGTCACTGTCGCCCAAAGGCCTCAGTTCCTCGGAAAAGTTGAGTGCCTGAACTCAGAATCGACTCCTGTGCCCTTGCGAGCGCCTGCTTGAAGAGCTCGGCTTTCACGGCAAGCTCCTGAACAAATAACTTGAATTCTTCCTATATTCTACTCATAACAAAGATCAACGATTTGGCGGCTTCTGTTGGCCCGTGTCCCCACAGCAGTCCTTGCGCTCATGGCAAAGAACTTCTTCATTCCTGTCACCAAGCATTCCCTGCTACACATGTTTGCGCACCCAAGCAAGTAAATCACACGCAGTCTGAATCGGCGAAGTAGCTTGGATGGCCTGTCTCAACCCCCCAAGCTCTGCGGATATGTCATTTTAGGCACTGCAAAGCAGGCTCTTGGCAGTCAAGTCTGACTGTACCAGAGTCGCGCGACTCACTAAGCTGCAAGCTGCAACAAGGCAGCTTTAGAAGTGTGGCAAGCTCGACTGCCTTTTGGCAGCAGATTGGCACGCCTTTCGGCCTGCTCAATTACGTCGGCCCGTTAGGTCCATCCTCTGCTTTCTTCTTTGGAAGCGATACTCCACGCTGCCACAGACCCACCTCCGGGTCGTTGTTCGGCTGTGGGCCCGTTGCTGCAGGCTTGATGCCGTCAGGCCGCATCTTGGACACCGCATAGAGGACGATGCAGGCCGTACTCGCGGTCCACGAGGCTAAGACTTGCATCGTAAGCCTGGCAAAGCCCAACCCCAACGAACGTGCAGCTGTATGCTTGCTGCCCTCCTGACATGCTCTCGCCCGCTCCCTTGCTTGAATTTACAATCTTTGGGGGAAGTGAAAACCATCATCATAATACGTGTCTCCACCACAGTAGCTTGGGTGCAAACATGCGACATGCGTGTCAGATGAGCGTAAGATACAAGAGCGAATTCCTGAAACTGCAATCCCTAAGCTGGGTCAACATTGAGCCACATACTATCCAAAAAATGGCGAGCTGACAACCGCCATGGCACACAAACTGTCTTTGCTTTGAGAGCATGCATGTGCTGAGCTACCGCACCAAGCTTGCAGCAAACATACATAATGCATTGACACATAGCAGCAAAAGTCTGAATCAGCAAAAAACTTGGTGCGTCTGCATGCAAGAGGAAAAGGGTGGAAAACTGCCGTGGTAAAACATATCCAAACTCAGTGGATGACTCGGCGATGCTCACCAACATCCAACGTCAGTTCGGACAGACTGTCTCATATCCGTCATCACATTTCCTTGCCAGCGGTTGCCTTGTTGAGCTGGTTGGGAAGTAGCAGCTGGCAGTTGTGAAGTCAAGCCATTCAATCCGCCGACTACAACGGCGTGTTGGACGCAAGAAACACGGCCTTCCGCCTTACCTGCTCCCCTTCGCCTTACCACTCGGATTTCGAGGGGGGGGTGGCCTTGTGCTAAGTAACACAGACGGTCCCCTGTCGTAGACTAAATCCTTTCTTGCGGTGGGGGACGGAGTCGCATGCGCGCCTTGGGTGGTCGATTCCCGAGCAAACGCCAACGAAAGATCCCTACTTGTGTCTTGCGGAGACATTTTCGAAAGTGACAACGGAAATTGCAAACAAACTAAGTCCCCAACGTTCCGTACTCAAGTGCGGCGGGGACTTTTCCAAAGTGAGGTTTTGGGCGAACACGAAGTAGCCCAGGGAAGCAAATGAGCACAAAGTAAATCACAAAGTGCCCACAGCACCCGGAAACACAACTCGGGTGAAGCTGTGGATGATGACCGGGTTGAGGAAGTGACGGTAGAAGAGGAAAATGTTTGGGGAGGTTTGGAGACACGTTGCAAACGAAAATCAGGAAGTATACCACCAAGCCCAGGGCGTCCGCGCCGCAAAACCAGGTACCTCCTAGTGCCAGCCCTATCCCGCACCAAGCAGCAAACTACTCAATGAGGGGAAAGACCGCCGCACTATGGCACCTGACGTTTTACCGCAGAAGACCTGTCGGGAAGTGGAAAACTTGAGCCAAACGGCCATTCGGCCGATTCGCTTATGAAGAAACAACACGTGAACGAAACACACACCCCTCATCCGATATCTGGACGAGAGAAAGGATGCAAGACAGTTGAGTTCACAACGAACGGAACCAACCAAAAATGCCAGTGTCAACTCAGAGGTGAGCCAAACGGCAGCACCTGGGCCCCAGTTAAAATCCCGCCACCACCCCGAATTAGCGGGGCGACAGGATTATTTGACGAATGGGCCACGTGAGTGAACAAGGACACATTGGAGGAGCCAGACGAAGATTCCTCTCGTGCCGTTCATGTATTGTCATGGGACAGTAATACGCGGAGGGGGACCCTATCTGCATCACCGCGCCTCACAGCATATCACGATGTGGTTGAAGGTGGTACCGAGTTGGGAGGAACCATGATAGAGATATTCCGGCTGGCCCGGCACTTCTAGTGCGGTCACAGCCTCACACAGGATCATCAGGGGAACCGTCTCCGGCGCGCACGGCAGCGGTGCGGGAGGAACGCGAACAACTCCGGATCAGCGGTACAGGGCAATGGAGACCATCACCCCCAGCAGCGCCGCATGGGCGAGAAGAGGACCGGTGCAGTCGCCTTTTTCGGCGACATGTGCGCCATCCTTGCCCTTCTAAGGCGGATGATGATTGCGGTACCTGCCTACCACCCTGATCCGGGTTCTTCCCGGTCTCTGGGCGCGTCATCTCTCCGACGACCACCGCGGTCACCTCGGTCGCCTCCTCCATCCCGACGGCGGTCCTCACCACCATCTCTACTGCGGTCGCCAGCCGGGGGTCGGCGAGGCGGAGGGGGATCTGATTGGTGACGTCGGTCATCCCTGCGCCGGTCTCTGTGGCGATCGCGACGGTCATCGGCGGGGCCATCACGTCCGCGGCGCTCGTCTCGCCCCGGACCGCGCCTCTCAGAGGGCTCCTCACGACGTGGAGGAGGTCGGCGATCATCGCGCCGGCCTCCGCGGGTATCCCTGCCACGATCATCCCTTTGTCGGGGCGGGCCAGGATCCTCGCGCCTCGACCCTTCGCCTCACCCTTAGGGCCGCGACGATCCTCGCGAGCCCCAAGCGCGGTCCTTGATCGATCGTCATCTCGGTGGGGTCGCAACTCATCGGCCGCACGAGTGGCCCGAGGCACGCCCGGAGGAAGCTCCCATTCTCCGTCGTCATCATCGCGCGGGTCATAGCCGCTACGGCCGCCCAAGGAACCAGTGGCATCCCGTGGTGGGGACGCAGGAGTTCCGGGACCGCCAGACCGAAGACGAACCCGGGGAGTCGCGTCCTCGCCGGTGAAGGGATCCTTCTGGGTGTAGAACCCCTTGGTCCTGCCCCTTCTCTCCCCTTCTTCTGCACCGCTTCTAGCGGGGACCGGGGATGGACGGGCAGGCTGGGCCATGCTCTTGGAGCTGGGTTGCCCGCCAGGAGGGATGTGAACCCCCCCTGCCCTTGGGTTGATCGGTGTCAGCCTCCAGCTCGGACTCGGTGCCAGGGACACGAGTATTGACGGCCACGTCCTCTTCCTCAAAAGGATCCCCAGCCGTTGTGACCGCAGCAATAGGAACGGGGGAGGAGGAGGAGGAACTGGCACAGCCCCGCCAGAACCGACGCCTGTGTGGGATACCACAGGGGGTCTCCGGTTCTACCGGGATAGGCGGCGCGGGAGGAGCCGGGGGCGGTGGCGGAGGGGGAGGGATCTCCTCCTCATCGTCGTCCACAGGCTTCTCATCGTCTTTGTGCGAAGATCCCAGCTCATCCTGCGCTGATCCAGCAAAGTCGGGCTCCTCCTCGTCTTTCACGCCGGGGCCTGGTGTAAGGCGGATCCCGGGTCGATGGCGATCGCGGGGTCGGAAGCGGTATTTCCTGGGCGCGGGATCGGCCAGCTCCTGTTTGATGTCGTCCTGGGTTTGCGGACGGTCGGCCAAGCACGTGTCGTAGGCAACGGTGGCCGTCCGGTAGATCAGCTCATCCATACTGCTGAGGTCGTTGAGCGTGTAGGCGTAGCCCTTCGAATTCTTTACGCCTTCCCGTACCGTGTCCATAGCCTGCTTGAGACGCGCGGCGGGATCAAAGCCGGCCCTCCTCCGCATGGCTTGCATTACCCCACAGTGTTGTGCGAGCAGTTCCACCTGGGCCTTGAACGTCTCGCCGGACACATCGTTCGGGAGTATCGGAGAAAGATGCCCGGATCTCAGCCCAATGATGTGAGCTTCGACCATGTAGTATGACGTGTAAAAGCCGCAGCGGTTGGCGTTGAAGTTTGCGGTGGTTAGGCGTCTGCCCCACTCAGCCGCATACCCTTCATATTCTTCGAAGAAGTCGGGGACGGTGTTCCCGTTGAAAGCAAGACCCCTTACCAAGATCGCCTTTGCGACCCACTCTTCCACATTGTGGTCAACGGTGTCACGGTATTTGCCGTCAAGAACCTCGTCTCGGAGCGAGTCGTGGAGTTTCTGGAAAATGCCGTCCACGTCCTCTTTGTCGAGGTACTTAGGAGGTCGCATCCCAGACATCAGCAAGGACCGGGCGTCAACGGCGGGACTCTGTGAGTAGAGGGCCATTCCGATGGCGTTGGCGTCTGCGTTGTTCCACAGAGTGGGGACGACGCCCCCGTATTTCCCCAACCAGCTGGGAATCACCCCGTCAGTGCTCGCTATCGTGCGAGGGCCGCCGTCCGTGTCTCCGGTGGGCAGGACACCCTCATAGAAGATGGGAAGGTAGCAGGCAGTGCACAGGTGAGCGCCGATCGGATGAGTCGTCATGCACCTGTGGCATGGAACAGACAGCACCTCCCGGACATGCTCCGCCTTGGTTATCTCAAGTCTTCTCCATCTCGTCCCGACACTTCCTCGGGTTCTCACTTACGGAGCTGAGGAAGTTGGGCGGATAGCACCATGGCCTCAAGTAAATCATCTCCAGTACCCGATCGCGATGTTCTCGCGCGATGCAAAGGTACCCTGACGAGTAATATGCATGCCCCCATTTTCCATGGAGAAGAAACGTGCATCGAGGGCCATGACCACATATCGGGGATCGCTCCTCTGGCGTCGACCCGAGGTGTGCAGCTCTGTCACATTGCCATCGGTGATGCGGTCGACAGTGTCGTTGGGGCATTCACCGTGATCACGGATGGGTTGGTACTCATCCGGCCTGGATGGGAGGAGCTCAATCATGGCTCGCCCACCCCGGATGATCGCTCCACGTTCTACGTAGAGCCGATACATCCG